TCTAGTAGAATGTTTTTAGCTTTCACGTGTTGAGAGGGATAAAACCTTTAGCTTTTGCAAGTACTACTACTCCTATGTTTTCGGATAGTATAACTGATTATATGATGTTCTTTTCGCTCTTGGAGTAAGAAAAATATGTTTGAAAGGTGCGTAGCGGTGAAGTCAAGAGATTCCGGAATCTCTCTTTCCTGTGCTATCAAGAATAAGGAATAGCCAGCAAGGTCTTCTTCCTTATTATACGCGCGTGCAAGAGATTCTGTTTAGTGTAAGGTGCAAGGCGAAAGTCATAAATGAAATAGAACTCCCTGTCTCATTCCCGACTAACCGTGAACAGAGTGAAGGGTGGGCCAAGAGCTTTTTATAAGGGGTCTTTTTTCAACAATATTCCCCGGGCTCACCTATATCCTATTTCTCTTCTAGCTGGCGGACTCTCTCTTATATTGATTTCTCAACTCATAATAAGTAAGGCACAGAGAGCTCAATGTAGGAATCGTGGAAAGGCAAGTAAACTACCTCGCTCCACTAGCTAGGTAACTCCTTTTTCTAACTAAGAAAGCAGCAAATCCTTGTTGCCTGCAAATAGGCTTTCTTCTCATTCCCTCCCCATTTTTCTTATATAGTCAGTATTTCAAGTAGTCAATATGCCAGTGCCTATTTATTCTCTTGCCCTTCCTTCTCTTGTGTCGGGCGTGTGATCGATTGGAAAGCTCCTTCCCCTTTTCGCCTGGAAGAGGGTCAGTCTCAAAGCAAATGAAAGCGGTTGATTTGATGCTCTCCGAAAAGAGCCAAAATAGCCGCGGATGCAAAGTTAGCACTACCCTGCTTCCATCCCCTATCTCACCTTCTTTTCCTATGTCGATGTTGTCATTTGGTCAATAACGGTCTAATTAGTCATAGTTTCCTTCTTCGGAGGGTTGGTTTGCCTTCTCATCCATCTTGAGATCGGCCAGATGGGCTTTTGCTTTGTTTACTCGGAGTTCTTTCCGTCTAGTCTAGTTTGCTTCTTTGCGTTCACTCGTGGAGTTCTAGTTAGGTGAATTCTTTGCATCTATCAATCAAATGAATGCGAAAATTCTCTCACCAACCAAGCTATCCCAAGCTGATTTGGCTAAACAAAGGACTTGGTGATTAGTAGCTGGTTCAACAAGAGCAATTTGATCTTATTGGCTTGCTTATTCAACTCGTTTGAGTAAACCCCGTCTTCACTTCATCCCTCTTCCCTTTCATCCATTACCGTTAGCGCAATAGGCTGCTCGATTTGCCATCTCGGCTCTTCTTGCCCTTTATCCCATGCCTAGGTAAATTCTTTTAACCCTAGTCAGTAGACTGGCCTTTCCTTTGCGATTGGATCCGTGAGTTCAATCAAATCGGATGTGGTATCGTATTTAATAGAAATGGCAGCTTTTAGGCGTGATCTATCTCTCTGCTTTTCATAGTCAAGATGTGCCCGTGGGATGAGACTTTAGGGCTTTAGGGAGAGACTCTCTTTCTTTCTCAGATTCAAATGCGGGACCGGTAGTAGGGGTCAACGTTTTTGCTATTACAGAATCCCGTGCTACGGAATGAATCTAGTCACCATCCGATTTAGCTCTTTTAGTATGGACATGGCTTAAGGAAGCGAATGACTCGAGTTCAAGTAGTTCGGCTAAGCCGGCAAGAGAGATGGAAAGAGCGGATCGATCTCCTGCTTCCCGAATGCCTTGACTTACTAAAGACTGGAATGAACCATGAAATTGATAAGGAATGAGATTCGGTATCTACTCTAGATATGATCTTTCCCATAAAGCTAGGCATGAATAATCCGTATTCCAGAGCAAGTCAGAAGACTAGCTATAAGGAAAGACTCTATTCCATATACCAAAGCCAAGAGCCAAGCTAACTCAATAAAGGAAGAAACCCTGCCAAGCCAAAGCTAGAAAAAGCACAAAGCTTTCCTGTTGAATGAGGCTATCTCTTCTATCGCTCCTTCCAAGTGAGCCTCTTTCATAGGAATTCCCCCTATCAGATCAGGGGGTTCCTATAGGGGCCAGGTACACTCTACCTGAAAATGAGACAGAAATGAATGCAAGACTTCGAAAGCTTGCAAGGCTTGAAGCTCAGAAATGGATGATTTGAGATCCGTTGAATTCAGACCATAAAGTGTAAAAGTCTTTTTCTTCCCACT